ACAATAATATTATTATTATCATCATTATTATTATTATACATACATCTATATGTTTACATATGTATACATAAATATAAATACATATATACGTATATATATACATATATATACATATATATGGACACACACACACACACACACACAGATATATATACATATGTGTGTGTGTGTGTGTGTGTGTGTGTGTGTGTGTGTGTGTGTGTGTGTGTGTGTGTGTGTATGTGTGTGTGTGTGTGTGTGTGTGTGTGTGTGTGTGTGTGTGTGTGTGTGTGTGTGTGTGTGTGTGTGTGTGTGTGTGTGTGTGTGCGTGTGTGTGTGTTTTTTTTTAAACATCCAGAAATGAATATTTTCAGTGTCTAAAATCCAATAAACTACGTGATGGCTCTGTGCCCTTAATTTTACTTCGTTTAACGCTACTATTTTCGCTGCAACTACTACTATTGCTATCATTCTTATATCCATAGTCTAATGATTATTGCAAATGGTAATATACAATATTCTAATTATTATTGTAATCACCATGTATAGCTTTCCTAATAGTAGATGATTAAGCTTTCAAACCTGTGTAAGTGTTGGTGCAGTAGTATTAAACCATGAATGGTTACTGCTATTACTGTTCTCGCAGATGTTTCTGCTGCAGAACCTCCAGCGTTCATATTACTGTCACCGACAACAATACCCCTTACATCTCTACCATTGCTATCAGTATTGTAATTTCAATATAAACGAGATATATGATTACAGTAGTAACTGATAAGGTAACGATAATGATTATAATATTTGAAGGCATTATTGTGTTCATCACAGTATCATAAATAAAATTAACATTTTATCAACAACTGTTTTATGAGATCCTTTTCATATACATTGAAAGAAGGGAAGCGGAGAGCGAAGATTCTGAAAAAATTGCCTTTATAATTTTTCCTTCACAGCTTGAATTCCCCAGCAGATCATTCTGTTCCACATGATTTTATTTTCAATGTGAAGGATGAGTGGAAGCATTGTAAAAAGTGTAGGAAAGGCATGAATGAGAGAATAAGCAACGTCAAATAACAAGATATGTAATGACGCATTTCGATTTTTGACCAGTGTGTAGTCCTAATGAAGACTTAATGCGGGACTCTCATGCTTTGTGAGCCTAATCCTCCCCATTTATACCTTTTCCACAATACCCACAGATTATTACTATCAAAGGGATCTTATCGTGGTTGCGGCCATGCTGATTATCCATGTAAAAGTCTTTTATACCGTTTAAAAGGAGTCATGATTCATTCCAAAAGAGGCATAATGCAACCAAGATCGAACATAACCAGTGTTGCATTTTAACTTTTTTGTTGTCAAATATGAATCCAATCCAATCCAGCCATCGTTCCAACCATCAGTATATTCACTCAAGCTGTATCATAGACAAATTAACACATTTTATATTTTACCCCAAAGTTTAATTCCCCATTTCATTGCACCACCCAGGTCGATCAACGTTTTCACTTCCCTTGCTTAGATAATGCAAAATGGCTCTGTCCTGCTCTATCATATATATTAATGGGCAAACGCAGATTGTTCTTGTTTCAAATTCTCAAAATCTTTTGGTCCTTGAAACAAAATTTCACATACACCAGCTCTAACACGGCGTTTCCAGTCAACAACAATCAAGCCCAGCGATCTCTGTAAAAAATATTAGCCACCTGTACCGAACGTGGCGATTCGCTCCTCAGAGTCCCGTGATGGGAATTGTATAAGCGCCCTAGACCTCAGACCAGAGATTCTTCAACTTCGGCACACGACTGGATTTAAAGAGATACACGAATAATGCTTAGTTATTTTACTAGGGATACTTATTAAATGAGGTTATTCATCATATCTTAGGATCTTGTTAGTTTTAACAATTGTATATCATTCGAATCACGTCTACTTTAGAGAATGATATGCTTTTTTTGTAAATCTCAATTCTGTTTTACAGCTCTGACTACTTCGTTTTAGCCTGTTACTAATGGGAAAGGGACTTGCAGTTAGCTTTGGATGTAATATTTCAAATAACACTTGTCAGATCTAAATAACATATTTCCAGTAAATTTGGAGAAAAAAGGTTGCCATCAGTTTTCAGGTATATGACTTCATTTGTTTGGTTTGCTAATACTTGTTTCCAAATTACAAGTAAGGATGTTTGTCAAGAAATCGCCAATGCCTCTGCATCTTCATCATGCAGGTGAAGGGCAACTAAATACACGTATTTAGTTGCCTTTAGTGGCAAGCTAAAGCTTGGGCTGGGTACTTATCCAAGGACAGGTCACCGAGAAGGTATACAGCAGTTGGAATTGACAAAACAGACAATGCTCAATGTATTTTGCCGTTTATCGGTTGAGCAAGAGTAGCTGGCACAAATGGAACATATATTTACTCAGATATTCATGAAAAGTTTAAACATTGAAGCACTTTTCTTTATGGTGATTATAGAATTAGGATGTAAAAATACAAATGTCAAAATATAACATTTTGAAAT